CACCGAGAGCGAGGTCTCGGACGTCTACGTGCGTCTGGGCTATGAGTTCAACATCGCGTCGCGCGCCTTCAACGCGATTGGCGTCGACACCAACGACCTCGGAAACGTTCCCGAACTACTGCGTGGCATACTGGAGGAGACGCTGAGCCAGGAAGCATCGCAAGCGAGCCTCGACAATTTCCTGCCGCGGATACGAGACATCATCATAAACCTCCTGCACGGCCTGAAGAAGAAGCAACAGCGGTTACGGCAGCGCACAGGAAGAGATGGCTCGCTCAACGGTGGGGGCAGTCCGCGCCAGGGCAGCGTTGGGAGTAGTGGTGATGTCGAGGAGCACCAACAGCCGCGATCCGCAAGCACAAGACTGCCTTCAAGAGGGGACAGCCCGTCGTTTGGCGGCCCCGACCTCCCACCGCGCTCATCTTCGGTAGCTGGCGGCCGCGCCTCTCCAAGCAAGTACGATGCCCTCCCTTCGAACCCGAAAGCGAACCGCTCGACCACCGCAAGCCAGCTATCCACCGACTCGTCCATTTCGAGCGGCACCGCCCAGCAAATGCCTGTCATTGCTCCGTATCCCGCAGACGATTCCATGCCCAAACCGCCTGACCCCCCGCGGCCTAACTACCCCGTCGACTTCCCACCGCCTCCGCCTCCACCGAAACAGGAAGATGCGCTCGCGGCATTGCAAAGAGGTGGTGAGCTGGAGCGGAGGGCTTCGCGCCGATTTTCAGCATACCAAATCCAGAAGCATCTTGGAACAAATGGCATACCACTTCCACCTGTCCAGAATTCGCCCATACCGAATAGGGGTCGGGATGTACGCGAGTCTATGAACGCAGTGCGGACCAGGCAGTCCATGATGCACAGTCGCCAGCGGTCAAATCAGAGTCTCACGCAACAGCGGCCTGCCGTGGAAACAAAGTTCTCCTTTGATCAGCCCAATGAGAGACGCATTTCCGAGGAAAGTTCGCAAAGCGCCACGCCGAGCATTCTGCCACCGAAAGAGTCGGGTCCTGAAGACAGTCCCGTCCAGAAGACCCCAGACGACAAACTCGCGCAGCCAAAATTCCCAGAAGGCGACCAGTTCTCGCTAGGTGCGACGCTTAATGGTCCGTTATCAGAGCCAGCTGAGCTTGGAGCCGCGTCACCGGCGAAAGAAGACCCGCCGAGGCCTACAGCCAGCCGCAACAGCTCCTACAGAGTCAAGACGCCCTCTCCACAGCCCTCTCAGTTCATTCCAGAGCAGTCGCCTCAACAAGGGAAAGAGCTTACCTTGTTTCTCCAGTACAAAAGCAAGATTAAGAAATACGTCTTCACAGATGGTGCTGAGCTTTCTTCGGCCCGCCTGCAACTCGCTTTTATCGAAAAGTTCGCCTGGGATACCCACCGTTACGGCGACCTGCCTGAGATCCACATCCAGGACCCCGTTTCCGGTGTACGATACGAGTTGGAGGACATCAACGATATCAAAGACAGGTCTGTACTCGTCCTGAACGTAGAGCAACTAGACGAAGTAAAGAGCCATATCGATGATAAGTTTGGCGGACTCAGCAAACTGGTGGAGAGCATCAAGACAGTGGTCGAGGACCAGCAAGCAACTATACAACGCGTGGCCGAACGTCAACAGCAAACGACAAAGGAGATCGCTGGAATATCAGCGGCACCTCTTTCTTCAGCTCGCAACTCCGCCCTGCTACCCTCTCGTCCCATACCGTTAGGCACACCCTCCGAAGCCAACATTACTTCAGCCACTCAAGTAAGCGAGGTGCAATCGCTACGCCGTGATTTGGCTGTCATGCGACAAACATACTCATCTTTTGTATCGGATATACAAGCTAGCATGTCCACCATACGCACAAAGGCCAGTGCTGTGAAGTCCACTGCTATCAAGGCTGCCTTGCCCGCACTCGATGGAGACAGCGGTCGCGCTTACATTAACGCTGGCAAGAAGGGCCTGCAAGACGACTCGGAGAAGATTGTCAACAGGGTAGATGACCTACAAGATCTTGTTGAAGACCTCAGAAAGGACGTCGTTCTGCGTGGCGTGCGACCTCTGCCCCGCCAACTCGAAACTACCGCCAAGGACCTGTCGACAGCCACTGCCGAGCTCAAGAAGCTGCAGGATCTTCTGGCAAAGGAGAAGCCTCTCTGGACCAAGATTTGGGAACAGGAGTTGCAGACCGTGTGTGAGGAGCGAGATATGCTCACTATGCAGGAGGAACTCGCAGCCGACTTGCAAGATGATCTCGAGAAAGCAGCCCAAACACTTGAGCTGGTCGAGCAGGCGACCAAACAGCAGAATCTTGAAAGCGAGAAAGAGTCTGGAAAGGGAATGCGTTCAGCTAGTGGCCGTAACATGCTCAATGCAGTTGCTCTCGACAAAGTTGTGGATCCACGCCAGGCCCGCGATGGAGTACTTGGAGAAGTCAAGGCCCTGCAACCAAACCATGAAGGCAGGCTCGAAGCAATCGAGCGAGCGGAAAAGGCGCGACAGCGGGATCTTGAGACGAGGAACGATGACGAGTTCAAGCGCGAGCTTGGAAACTTTGTCGAGGAAGGCAAGCTCAAGAAGAGCGGCGGCGTCGAGGAAGCAGAGCGCCTCCGCAAAGCAAAAGATGAGCGCGCACGAAAGGAGAACTTTGAGCGAGAAGCCGCAAGACAAAGAGCCAAAGCGGAAAAACAGCAGAGGGAGGCCGAAGCTGCTGCCGCTGCCGCTGCCGCCGCGGCTGCTGAACCAAACGGCGACGGTGCTGATGGCCAAAACGGAGAAGCGGAAGCTCCAGCAGAGAATGCAGAGGAGGCCAAGGGAGATGAAGGTGGTCCTGCCTAGACGCCTGCCATCTATTCCTAGCCTTCTCGTTTGTATTTGAGCTGATCCGTGGTCTTAGATCTCCCGAAAAGACAATTTACAATCCGCCCCTGGGTCAAGACCGGCGGCGTTCCGCTATCGATGCAAATGAGATTTGCCGCAGCTACGGGGCTGGACCTACCAGTAGCGGCAGTGTCATCTACGTCTACGCCCACGTCTTCGTCTCCTTCTACTTCTACAGAAAGTACAGACCCGCTCATCTCAACCATCAGAGTCGTGACTAGCGCAACACAAATCAATGACACCTCTTCGAAATCGGAGACAGACGATATACATCCGCCCACGCGACCAAGCATTATGCCTATAAAACATTGCGATATACCAATATCCATTACACCAACATCCTATTCCGGCGACACGGACACACCATCGCCGATCCTTCCTTCGAATTTCGGCCCACGACTCGCAATCTCACGAGGTGGAACGCCTAGAACTTCTCACTCATATCGCACACCCAAGCCTTCTCACAGTTTCCACGGTCGCGACAAACCCAGCTCAGGTACATCGCCTGTACGTGCACGCGGCATGACTTTCCCACGCGCCTCTCCCAGAGTGACCAAGTCCAACTCGCAGAAGACGTTAGATACCAACCCGCACACGCCCGAGAGTAGCAGCGCAGACAGTTTTTCACAAAGCGACAGCGATAGAGATAGAGACACAGATAGTGTACTCTCCTTCACCCCCAGCATGGGCGGAAAGAACCTGGCCAACTGGTTTTCCGGACTGTTGGGAAGATAGTAGAATAGCGTGTGTACATAGAGAGCAGCAATGGGCAAAGTTCTATACGTCGTGTTCCCTTCCAGGGAGGGATGTATGGTATCTGTACTATGTAATTATTGGTGGTAGCATCGGTAATGGCGTTAGTGTTGGTAAGAGGTTATGCATAGCGATCAAGGCGTTTGGGCACATTGGTATGAGATATGTTGGTATTGTGGGATGATGGCGAGATGTTGATACGCGGTGAAGTGGGATAATGCAATGGATCATGTATCATCTCAATTGTATCCGCTTTTCCACACATCCTGAGTGCTGTCTCATACCCTGGAGCCTGCATTGACGCTGGGTCTTTCTGTTTGCTTCGTTGATAGTGTCTGCTGCAGACTCGTTCGACATTTTCCTTATTAAGATCATTTTGTGTCACGTCGTCATATCGCTGCCACATTAACTATTCGCTCGTATCAAACACATCCCGGCTGACGAGGCAGCCTTGATACGGCAAAGAGCTTCAATGCATTAGAGAACTCGGTTACCCCTACTGATAATCATGGATAGCATGGGCGTAAGTCGTGTGTTCAAAAGTGAAAGAACGTGACGCTTGCAAAGTACTACGAATGCCCCAGAAGTGAAACCATGTCTTAGGAAGCCATCGCAGCACGACGCCGAATTGAGCTAGACACTACGCGATTGCTTCAAAGGACCTCTTTCTCATCCCTTCTATATTTAATGGGCGGATTCAGTCATCGTGTATCTCATGTGTATTCTAGGAGTCGTAAGTAGCTCGTTGTTAATAAGTTATTGCGGTACTATAGGAGAGAGAATAGGACTAGAATTTAAGATTTTCGCACACCACACTGTGTAAGTCAAAGGAGAGAGTATTAGTATAAGTCACTGAATGTGAAGAGAGGTCGGCGTACTCGACTCTGGTTTAGAGTACCAAAGACCGCGATCACTGAAACTCCTACACATTACACTCTTGACCTTTCTCGGTCGTCAGAACATACTTTGAGTACCACTATTACCACTATTACCATATTATCCCTTTTTTCATTTACCGAGAGCTTTAACGAGCTGTGCTATAATTGCAACGTATCTCAAACCCCGCGATTACTATTGGCGGCGGTTATCGCACGATCTTGCCGTTTGGCTGTGATTGGGCGGCGATTGACATGGAAACCTGGAAAGAACGGTGGTCCTGCATAGCAGTGCCTTCATAACGTTGACTCAAGTACCTTTTTCGCCTGGATGCACTTGCTCGTAACACTCAAATTTAAAGTCTGCCCTGACTTCGAGCATTAACCTCGCACCATCAACAACTCGAAAAGCTCGTTTTTGCGACCACAACGAACAGTCAACTCTAACGACACTACGATCTTAACATACAAACACTCCATCCAACTTCACCATCGTCACTATGAAGAAAGCATCCCGCCGCTCCGCAAGAAAGAGTCAACAGCACGAGTCGGCGGAATCTAAGCAAGATGCAGGCGCTCCAGCGACTCTTACATCGACTACCACGAACACTCCCCAGAAAACCCCGAGTCGTCAGAGTACGGCAAAGACTCAGATCAAGACCTCGCCTGAAATGTCACTCGACGAGCCCGTCGTGGGCTACCCATCAAACGATATGGAGATAAGCCATCGCGACAAACAACGCATTGTCGACGAAATTCACAATGTGAAGGACATCGACGCACGCTGGCACGAGAAATGGGACAATCCCCTTCCGCTCAAGCGAACACCTAATATGACCAATGAAAAATGGCATAGAACGATCACGGACAATTACAACACATGGTACAAAGAATCCCTGGAGGCTCTCGAAGCAAAGAAGAAGCTCTACCCCGAACTCATCCGAGCGTGGGGTCAATACACAGAGGAAGGTCTCATGCAGAAGACGAAAGGCGATGACATGATATACAATGCCGAACAGCGACTCGCCAATGCCGTTCGAGACATCATACTCTTGAAAACCCGTAAACATAGGCTCATGGGAGACCTCCTCGATACAACTCTGAGACTCGAAAAAATGGAGATGGCATATTTGGATCTTCTGATGCAGCGCCAGCTTGAGCCTGAGGGTGCCCTCGATTGGTTCAAGATCAAGGATAGGGACAGCGCATCACAGAGTGCGTTCAGGGAAAGTCTTAGCAAGCGTTATGAGAGCGAATGTCAGATCTCCACAGCGCTCTGGTGTCCGATAACCAGGCGCTACCAAACATCCGACGACATGAGGGCCGCCCATCTGGTCCCACACAACACCTATGAAGGAAATTGCGCCTATATATTTGGCCCACCAACATCGAAAGACGGCCATCTCAATGACATATCGAATGGGCTTCTTATGCACAAAGATCTCGAAAAGGCAATGGACAAAGCTGCGATCCTCATCGTCCCAGCTTGTGAGGGAGACATTGACCCGGAAACCGGCGAAGTCGTGGACTTCAAGGAAGACAAGGAGCCATACAAGGTTCGAGTTCTGAGCTTAGCAGGCTTACGCATACTGCACCCAGAATCAGTCGGCCACTGCAAGCTATCAGATCTCGACGGGAGGATTCTGGAATTCAAGAATGAGCTTCGCCCAAAGAAGCAATATTTGTGGTTTGTCGCGATTACGACCATCGCACGTCGACGTCGAGCGAAGTGCCCAAGCTGGCCATCGGATTTGAAGGTGCTGGGCGAAGCTATGTGGGCTTGTCCAGGTGCATGGATCCGCAAATCGATCATGCATACCATAATGAGGTCAATTGGCTTTGTCGACAACCCCGAAGCCTATCTGAAATTAGGTCCCACGATGACTGGCTCCAGAGAAGAAGGCCTTTACGACAGTGAAATTGTCGACCGTTTGTCTATCGACTTGGTCATGAAGAAAGGATCACCTTCAACAACCTCGGTAGACACATCGGGAACTTGGTCGCAATTGGCACTTGAGAACAAAGCGACAGCTCAAGACGAAGCAACATCTGAAGACGAAGCAACATCTGAAGACGAAGCGATACCTGAAGACGAAGCGATACCTGAAGATGAAGCGACACCTGAAGATGAAGCGACACCTGAAGTAGGATTACGTGGAGGCCAGGGCTCTTCACTAAGCGATACCACACGAGCTGGCATGCTACCCGATTCTTTTTGGGAATCAAGCCTACGCGCTGTGAGCAGGTTCACGAACCTTGTGGACTGATCCTCGGACTCCGATTCATGGACCAACGGTGAAAGCTGACGAAGAAGCGTAAAGCGATGGAGTTAGCGGACAGTCGGCAAGGAAAAAAGAGCAAATCAGGGCGCTGAAGGGAGGGAATGTCGTGGAGGGTTATCACTGATGGGTTGCAGATCTGAGAACACGAGACGACGTACAGGTTGTAAGTGATGCGGGTTGCTAACGGTACTTGGGTGGCCAGCGCTCCGAAAACACATCTAGTAGCTAGTAGACACTTGCTCTGGTAGTCTTGTAGATTTACTATGACTACGTGTGAGTACTGTTTCGCCTCAATCAAGGAGAAAGATGAACACCCTGGCGCCTACATTGCCGCTGACTCTGCATATCTGGCTATTTATGCTGTCCTGTAGTCCTCTCGCTGCCTCATCATCTTTTCGCTCGTATCGCATCTTCATCGCCGACCTCCTCTTCCCTTCTTCTTCTTTCCCCTTCCACCATCATCAGCAGCCTTCCGTTTCTTCGCCTCCTTCGCCTCTTCCATCGCCCTCTTCTTCTCAATCATTTCATCCGTCTTCTCCTCGCCGAGCACATCGCGAAAGCTTTCGAAATCAAGGTCAACAAAGTCCATCAGCATCCTCTGCGCCAGCCGATCCACAACATGGTCCAGGGTTAGGTGTTTGAGGAGCGGGATCAGCAGCTTCAACTCCTCCATCGTGACACCGCGGTCTCCCTCATTGGTGCCGCGAACTGGCGCTATGTTTTTGCGGAATGGGAAAGAATCGCGGATCATTTCGCCGACGGGTATGTCTGGTCTAGAGACTACCAGTTTCGCTCGCTCGACGGCGGGTTCGAGGACGGTGGTGCAGAATTGTGGAAGGAAGGTTTCTGAAGCCCACTCCTCCGAGTCTTTGACTTGGATGAGCAATTGGACTAGCCAGGGGACATCGTTTAAGAATCCGCCCAGGTGTGGGAGAAGGAGGGGTAAGACTTCCTCTCCAAACGTCTGTGATATTAGAACGAAGTCTCCAACCTCATCGTCGTGAACCTTCCCTTTCCGAACCTCTGGCTTTTTCGTTGGCGCACCCAGCTTCTTGAGACAGTACTCGCGGATCGCAGGCTCAGCCACCGACAGGTGATGCTGTAGTATCTTTCGCATGGATCTCAAATGATACCAACTGACATTCTCGAGAGTTGAGGCGCTCGAACCAAGGACAATGTTGCAGTAACGTTGGATATCGGCGTCTGGGACCTTGCCGTTGAGCTTGGCCACATCTTTGAGAAAGGCCTCGATGACGTCGATACCAGCGCACTTGGCCATGGAGCAAAGTGTATCGTGAATGAATGCGTCTTCGAGCTCGCGGCCGTTTTCAAGCAGTGGTAGGCAATCTCTGAGGCTGATAAATCTACTACCAGGTACTGTCTCGCGGATGATGGAGGCTCGCCAGGTGGCCATGGCGGCTGGTATGATTGACTGAGCACTCTTACTAGAAGAAATGTCAGTACTTCAACTGCCGCGCTGAATGAGCCCGTCATCACTTACTCTTCTGCGTCGCGAGCTCGGTCGTATGCTGCCTGGACGCTATCACACATCTCCATCTTCTTTTTGATACCATTCTGGGACTTTACGAGCCCATCTGCCTTCTTCAGATGCTCGGCATCTTTTGTCTTGTACACCAAGCGACCTATCGCACCGATAGCCAGATCGGCGCGTACTTGGCGTTGGAAAGAGGCACTGAGCTGTTCCATAGCCTTCTGCCACAGATCCGCGGAGCCAAGCTCGATGCACACAGCGGTCAGCTGATCCAACACCTCCCCGGGTATCAGGGGAAACCTGGCGCACATGAAGACTTGTCGCTCTTTGCGGTAATGGCCTGGATCGTGGTATTCGAGCAAAAGCTTGCAGAGCCTCTGTAGTTCCGGAAGACTAGCCGGGCCTGCGTCGGGTGCTCGCACTTTCTCCGTAGCTTCATTGAGCAACTTGACGATTGGCTCTGCTTTCGCATATTCGAATCCAGGGACCATGAAGAGAGCAGCTTCAATTCCCTTACCTTCGGGGCTGAGCGCGAAACGGTTGCGAATAACGAAGGCGTGGAATTTGTGTGGAGGAATGATTACGAGCGCAGTCTTGATATGTCTTTCATCGAGTTAGCTCCAGACGCGTACAGAAGATCCGAACTTACTGGTGGAATAGTGAAGCCTCACTCGCACCTTCCATCTCGTCGCCACCGTCCTCAATCTCAATCTTAGCAGTCTCATGTGTGAAGGCCTCCTTCTGGGTAACTTCAGTATCTCGCACGGGTAGTCGTAATTCACGCGGCTTTCCTTTCAAATCGACGACTTGCATCAGCTTTAGCTGGTCGACGGTGATGGTACAGGTGTCATCTTTCGGATCGATCTTAGGACGGCTTTTCTCCCACCTCCGATAATGGCGGTTTTCCACGTAGAGATTGCAGCCGAGCAATTTCTTCACGGACGCGAATAGTAGTGTGAATTTGAGCTCTTTGCAGACCTTTTTTAGCGTATCATAGTCGGAAGCATCTTGGTTTTTGAGGGCTGTAGGCAGCTCTGGGAGCTCGTACATGTTTTGAAGGACGTGAACGAGCAGGTGAGGAGAGCGAGTTTCGTCGTCATCGCTTTTCCAGCTTTTGAGCGCTGCAGTTAGGGCTTCTTCCTTCTCAGACTGAGCGTCAAGCGAAAGAGCGACAATGATTGCATCGTGCAATGCGCGATCCGGGATGGTTGTTTCTGGCGCCGACATGATGAAAGGATGATAGAGTAACCCGACTTATTCAATGTCCGACCAAGTTGGTACGCCAGATGTAAAGGCGCACGAAACTGTCGAAATTGCGTGTGCGTTCTCGTGAAGGAAGACTCGATAGTCATACACTAGAATGTTTGCTCCTTTGCGTAGCATCTAGCCCGATTCAGCAATTAGAGGGAAGAGATTAGGGGAAGAGAGAAAAAAGTACATGCGATGACGCCTCAAACATGGTTTCACTCCAAGGAATTCGTGTTACTCCGTATATGTCATGTTCCTTCAATTTTGTGCACACAACTTACGTCCTCCATGGTATGTGATCATCTACAAGTACCAGCAGCGGCCGTCGACTTCTCAGATGCAGCTCTCGGGCTTTGCAATTGGTAGGTAGATGTTGAAGCTCTCTGCAATATCGAATGAGGCGACCGTTCTTGCGACTCTGCGGCGCTCAGTCGTGGCTGCCTCAATTTTAATCCCACTGCGTTCCCTACCTAGGTAGGTACTTGCTACCCATCACCGTTCTTGCGAAGCCTACATCCATCTGCTCTTACATTCACCTTCTACGACGTGATTTATCAGTATGCGCATCGTCGTGATTGTTCGTTCGGCAGGCTGTGGTATTGTACCGTTCCCAGAGTACCTAGGTCTGCTCCGCTCTTCGCGGGTTACACAAACCAGACTCCTCCGCTCATAACGGCAGACCGACAATACCGAAGCTTCAAGATTGTGTTGCAAATCCAGCGCGCGTGTAAGAGATATTAGTGGCAATATACGACCATTGCTGCGTGTGGCTATCCAAGGTGGTGTCGCTGCCGCCCGCCCGCAAATCTGTGTAGGTACGCGATCGCGGTGTACCACGTCCTCAGCTAGTACCGCCGTACTCTTCCATCTCCTTCATATGTCGATTGCTATGAACACGTTCTTTTTATGATGAAAACCCTACCCAGGTAGCTACAACAGATTCCAGACCGTGGATGGATCTACCACGCTACTTGTTATCACATGCTAACTTCCAATCCAGCGCGTATCTCTACGGCTCGCTATAGCTGACGCAAAACTCGAAAGCAACAACTTCGTCACGATGGCGGCTCACAGAAACCTCGACAAAGACGTTGGCTCTTCGTACTGTGTTCGCCAACCTTACCTAGGTATGCAGGCCATATACGTGGGCCTCCCGAAGAACCTGGGAATGTCGCCCATATGAATTCGAGAAGACCTCCTACGTAGCAGCAGCGACATGGTGAGTAAGGACGCGCTCGCTCTACCGACGGAATCAAAGTATGCTGTCGCTACCTAGGTACGAAATGCGCTGCCCGCCACGCCGCATTCCAAGGTTAGTCGGTTCCAGCCAAATCGCCCCCTCACAACTACCTATGCAAGGACTCGCCTGGATCTATCGGCCTGTAGCAACACAATTATGCATATCTTATGCAACTCGACCTGCGACTCGTGTTCATTGCACAACGGAAGGTCGGCTCATCACAGCCCTCGGACATCGAATCGCAGCCGTCGTTCTTCTGCCTGTCCCCCCACCTCGAGCTATCCACCGTCACCGCCCTCGCGTCCCACATTTACTAGCCCACCTTTGCGTCTTTCTGCGCCTTTCCACGTCACCATCTCCCAGGCAACGCCCTTAGGACGCTAGAGTACTAGCGCCGTTCAGACTTTTCGCCCAGGTATATAAACCCACCCTCCTCCGTCCCTCCTTCTGCTCCTTAGCTCTCTTTGCCTTTTGGCTTAGATCAAGTGTAGTATCTGTTCTTTTCAGTTTAATCTCTGAGTACGTTCCTCTCGCCATCTTCTACGCTCGAAGGACGCGTCGCTAACATCACCGCAGAACGTTCCTACGGGAACTTCAAGATTATTCTTATTTTTGAAACCAGCCGGAGGATCCCTGGGCTTGCTCATATCCTCTGGCACAGTGTCGCCTCTATCGCACTATCTGAGGCTGACGCGAATTACCTTTTTCATTGAGACGACTGGCTTGCTCCAGTTGCTTGAGGAAGAAGACGGAATCGCTTGTTGAATCTTCCTTGTCGTAATGATGCTGAGCTGTTGGGCTTGCTGGGGATTTTGCTATTATTTGCGCGCCGAAAGTGGGGTAATGCTGCTCAAAGATCTCGGCTACTTAGGTACCTAACACGAACAAGCCCGCTCATTCAAAGTCGTACGAGACAACGCATGTCGCGTGTATGTACTCATCATTACTCTCGCGGTTCATAGGCTTACAAGAAGTAAGACGATGTATTCTTCTATACAGAGTATTCGTTGCAGCTTGCCAAACGTGAGCTTCTGTGCAGTCGCCTTACGAAAGCCCCATGCTTGAGAACGACAAATCCACGTCTATACACCGTATCTTGGTTCATTGATGTGTTGCTGTTGGAAACCCTCAGATGTCCGTTACTTTCAGAACACCCAGATGTGTTTCGGTGTCGATAAGTGAGCTTTGTACTCCCAGTGCATGTATCCAGACATGCCTAGGTACCCATCATCACGTGCACATACTGAGGTCGTTGCTGGATAGATATAGACGTTTGCGGTTCCCATTTTAGCTTTCTGATATCCCAATGACAAACATTCCTACGCTTCGGCAGTGACACGGAGCGATCGCATTGAGGCCGGAAGATATATTACTGCTGACGCCAAGTATCTAGGACTTGCCATATCAGACGAGCATCGTGGTACATGTCAACCCTAAGGTATACTGTCCCACATCAATGCGGAGTGTATCTGCTGAAGGCGCGAATGCGGCGAGCTTTGCCATTTACCCCGTGAACCAGGATTGACAAATGCTACACCAGCATCAGCATGCAACAAGTCTCATCGACGACCTAGGAAGCTTTCCACTCTCTGATGTATTCTTTACTGTGAATTGAGGCTACGACGTCAAGATGCAACCATACGCTATGATATCAGCAAGTACATGCCGACGATAGAATCGAAGTATAAAGTCGGGGTCGATTGAAACGAATATCCACCACCCTCATCACTTCAACTCCTCGCCAAAGCAAACAAAGTCTCCAGGCATGCATTCCGTCGCCATCATCGCAGCAGCCTTCGGGCTCTTCGCCTCTCAGGCAGCAGCTACCATCGCCCTTGGGAACAACGATAGTCACAACCGTAAGTCGACGACCTCCTTCACGTTGAACTGAAATCTGACAACAGGTCAGTGATGTGGATCTACGGCGACAACTCATGCAGTGGGGTGGTCAACCCCAACTGCGGCTCCCCTGTGAAGCTGAGGAACGGTTTCAGCTGTAAGCATTGCCTCTACTTCCCATAAGCCCCAAATCACAGACGCATCCTTGTGCTAATTGCTTTCCGTACGCAGATGTGGTCAGAGGTTGCGGAACTGATACACGCTGGATCGAGAACGCTGATGGCGGTTTTAATGCTCAGTGCTCTCGCGTTAGCCCTCCTTTCGCCACTGACTGCGGCGTTCAGCTTACGTGGAAGTGTTGAGCGACGGCTAGATGGTTGGCTGAAGGTCGTAGTGGTCGACGGGTACTTAGAGTTATGCTTGACACTGTCCTTACCTTCGTTATATGTTGAAGTGTGCTTGGATTCTGGTGTTGGAGTAGATGATGTTACGGTCGTTTATGGATAGAGTGTTTTTTTTTGCAAATTGGAAAGCGCTGCGCAGCCTTTGATCTAGTTTGCATCTGCGGTGACGTGCTATTACTTATGTGGTAGGACATGGTGTGCTCGGCTTTCGTGTGATATCCGCTTGTCCATCCCCAGAAGCATCTCTAAGACACGTATGATAGTAAGATGACTGAAGCTGCCAGAGGGAATGGCGGAGGAATGTGCCGAGTACATGGCAAGACTACCGTTCACGGCTTGAGAAACATGTATATCAATCTTCAACCGCAAAGTAAGCAGACGGTCTCGAGTTGTCCGCAATGTATGGGATAGATCACGTAGAGGGCATGCAATACCTCTGAAAGGTACCGATAGAGGAGACAGATACATCGATCGTCATATAACATCTTGATGGACGTAGCGATCGAATGAAACAGCATCTCTGAGAATGTAGGATGTATAGTTTATTGGGGTTCTCCCTCGCAGGAGGTGTAGTGCATCAGCGGGAACCAGGATTAAGATCTCTCGCATCTATACTTCTGCCTAAGGTAATTAACTTTATTTGCAGAATGGGTAGCTGAAGCGACGGAGTAGCGCCCATGGGTATCGATCTACCGTGAACTCTCGCGGTCAGCACTAATAGTCCACCCGTTCCCCAAGTGCATACTTCCGATGCAGCACGTCATAATGTATGGCATGCTCATGGATATGCCTGACGAATCAATCAGTTCTTGATGACTCCGGGATCGCGATGTAGAGTTCGGCTTTAAACGCATTCTAGAACTTTACTCTTCAAGTGTACACTCTAGATTAGCCATTGAGCCGGTGGCAGACCCAAAGACCATTTACAAGAAGCAGTAGAAGTCGTAGTATCGTGGAGACGTCCACCCCTCATATCTACTACACCTTGGCATTTCAATGCCTTGAAGCACCTGAGGCACGAAAAGAAGGACTGGCGTCGGTGTTGTGGCTAACGAGCCGCGTGCGTCGGATTTACCTAGGTAGCCGTTGGGATAGCCTGGCAGGGCTGACGTTTCGTTTCAAGCCAGCGATTGTTTCGAATGACGGCACGATCCGCTAACGCAGATTGATGGAGGTTGGACGTGTAAGAAGTTTGATAAGAAGGAAAAGCTTGGTACTGGCCGTTGATGCGGGTGACAAAATCGTGATTCGAGTAGATGGGCGTGATGTGATGTGACGGTGGGGAAGAAGAAATGGCAGAGGATGCATGTTTCATGTGACGTCGCGGGACGAGAAACAAGTGGCGTTTATTCAGATATCGATTGCGAAAGCCACAGAGAGATGCGGATGGAGTAGTGTCGACTGCTCTGGAGACGGCGCGCAGTGGGGAGCGCTTTCCGTAGATGCTGCGAGGCGGGAAGGTGCCAGACTGCCATCGTCACTTCCTTCTTTGGGAT